ACACCTATAGAAACGGTAATGCATAAAAAACAAACTGCATTGTAGTTTCAAATCATAGCAAATCAAATAATGAAAATCCAATTTTGCAAAAAAAACAAAACATACTGCTGTTAACTTTAAAAATATACTATGAACGTATCTTGGGTTTTCCTAATTTAGTTCGTAAAATAAATGGGCCACCGGTTACAAGCCCTAAAAACGAAAAGTATTTTTTTGGGAAAAATAATTTAACGGGCCACCGGTCCGGACAGATATTTTTCCAGGTTTGACCCGGACCGGACCGGAACCCGGAATCTTAATATTCTAAAGACCGAAACCCGGACCGGTTAATACCGGTCCGGTCCGATCCAATCCGGTCCGGTTCAGGTCTAAATTACGGTCCGACCCGGTTAATGAACACCCCTAGTCCTAAGCGCCCTCAGCTCATGCCCAAAACATGGAAGAACACGACACCACCACCTCCACCACCACCTCCGATCATCACCTTCATCGGTAATGACGAAAACACCGTCGCCCAGGACATGACCTCACACACCGCCTAATACCGGTCTAATTATTGTACATATATAGTACTCCCTCCGTCCCGCTAACAATGGGACAAGAGGGAGCGGCACACAAATCAATAAAAGTGGTTTATGAGGTTGATATTGAATTGATAAAGTAAAAATAAAGTGAGAATGATTTAGAGCCACACAACTTTTCCAAATTTGGTATGAGACAATCTTAGTGGGACGGACCGATAAGGTAAAACGGGACGATCATAGCGGGACGGAGGTAGTATAAAACATGAGTTTTTTTCCAAAATAATGCTAAAGAAAAAACTTTTTCCCTTGGATGGATCAGGAGATTTACGATGAACGTTTGAAGACAAAAGAGCGCTCGGATGGATCACGGATTTGAACGGAAGCCCTTAGAGCAAGAAACAGATGAAAACGAAGAAAAACAAGCCACACACGCCGTGCGTGGCCAAGACGCACGCCATGCATGCGTGGTAGACGATCCAAGGCGAGATACGAATTTATGCACGACGTGCGTAGAAGGACGCACGCGTGCGTGGGAGATGAAATCATGCAATACCCTACTTCCAGCCGCGCACACCGAGCATGGCAGGGACGCACGTCATGCACAACACTTTTACACGAGTTATGCTTAGGATGCACGTACGCCATGCACACCGTGCGTTGACGAGAACTTTGTCGTAGTGCGTCAATATAAATTCAATACTTAACACTTATACGTAGTATAGTGTAGTAGAGTTTGTATCCACAAGGAAAGGAATAAATCTCTTTTTTAATGAAACTAGTAATTAGCGGGGGGTTTGGGGTTGAATGATTTAATTTAATAAGAAACTAAGATGAACAACTTATATGTGTTTTAATTCAAAGATAAAAGGACTTGGTTTTGCTACTTTCCACTTGTTGATATATTTAGTCGATCCTTGTTATATCTATAACTTATCCCCTCTCGAATACTCAATCGAGGAGTATATCCAATTCATCGAGGGTAGTTATTAACAACGACCGTTCATTAACAACCCTTACTCTTCTAGAAAAAATAAAAGAAATGCTATTCTAAACTGAGCTTAAGAGTATATGTGAATTGGTAATTAAATGGGAAGGAAAAGGGGTGTATTTATAGGTGTTTGGAGGTGGCAGGGTCATTTACCCGACCGGGTTTTTCAGAATCCCGATCGGGTTTCTTGAGTAATTTCCCGGAATCTTCATTAGTCACATCTACCCGATCGGGTTTTTGATTTACCCGATCGGTTAAAAGACAAATCTTTGCTAAATCTTCGTCCAGCACGTTTAATTGCCTCCAAATCATATTGATCTTCGGGTCAAGTCAAACCCGATCGGGTTTTTGTAAAACCCGACCGGGTTTTTGACTATTTTCCCAAATTTTCACTCTCTCTTGTTCCCTTGCACTTTCCTTGACCTTTCTAGGATCCTTTTGATGATCTTTACCTAGTTTAAGCTCAGAAAATCCCTAATCTAAACAAATTACAACTATTTTACAAACTAAACTATAACACCAAAAGTGTGTAATTTCCAAAGTAACAATCAATCAAAACTAATTAAAAATACAAACATATACATGGAAATTATATGAATGTCATGCGTGCCCCTAGATTTCCTAATTTGGCCTGGATTCCTCCGTTTTCTATAAATAAAGCCCCTAAACCCCTGTTTTGGGGTTACGGAGCTTAGAGATTTTGTGTATTTTTTCGCTTTGTTCTTTAAGACCTTGTGATTATTTGTAAGTTCCATCTTTTAAGTTAATGACAATTAATTTTTTTCATCTCAATTCTGTTGATTGCTCAATCATGAATTGTGAGTAGTTTTATTTAGGGATTTGGGATTGATGAATGGTTAATCATGATCTAACGCTATTTTCTTGATGGATTAGTTGCATGAATTATATTTAATATGTGTTTGAATGATTAATTGATATTTCTTATAACCAAGAACTGCAGCTAGGATTATAACTGCACATAGAATAAATTAAGAGAGATCCAATTTGTTCTAGGACACTTTCTTACACACTTAATCGTTCGCTAAAAGATTAGTAACGGTTAAGGGGCCGTACGCTCATTTGTTTTTGCAATAATTTAGAATCCTGTCGCATGAGAGATCAACCTGCTTCCCTAAATTATTGTACTCTACGCTGCGAGAGCGGTAAGAACTTAGTATTGATTAGCGTTGCTCAATTAAATAATTTTCATGTGATTAAGTTTGATCAATCAGAAATCTGATTACCCGGGAATCAATCCCTGTTCGCTATCATCATTAATTAGAAAGAACCAAGTTATTTTAATTTCTTTTTCGCATTTTAATTTTCCTACCAATCAAATCTCGCACAATTGCATTTTATTTTATTTATTTTAATCGTTGAATTTAATTAATTCCTGATTCTCTTTTTCCATCCATGTGGAGACAATACTCGTATTTTTACCATTTACTACTACATACTTTTAAGTGCGAGAAAACTCACATCGCTTACCTATTCACTTGTATAATATATCTTGTACATTTGGTTATATAGTACAAAGTCTATTTATTATGTGATTGAGTTTTTGTATCTCATGTGGAGATTGCTATACAAGAATCTGGGACGTAGCAAGAGCAATAAACGATGCTTGCCTGAGCTAAGGTCTAGGTTGCCCATGGGCGGACCATAGTAGAGATCTAGGGGGCTACCCCCCAATAATTTTTTTTTTAGTGTATATATATACGAAAAATAATTTTTGCTCTTCCAAAAAGTATTTTGAATCCCCCAAAAATATTTTCACCCCCTCAAAATGACTTTTCTGGGTGCGCCCCTGAGGTTGCCCCCTAATTCCACCACTGGCGAAGATCTTTCTAGTTCGTGATGCATGTCTGGATGTGTTTCCCCAACGGACATTGCTTAAGGTGTAGGGATAAATAGGTTAATTTTTTCAAAATCATGCCATAATGCCATATGGTCATAGTTAATATAATTATTTCAACAGAAATTAAACCTTTGCTAGATCTATTGGACAAAACACAACGGACATGAGACTTGTGTTACAAAAAAGAGCTATGCAGGGGGCGGTCCTGTATGTTTGAAGGCCTAGGGGTGGAAAATCAAAATGGGCCTAATGTTACAAACAATTGTACAACCTTTTTTCTATCTAAACTGACGTACATAATAATAATGATAATAATATTTCAAGACATTTATAAAAATTTGTAAGACCCTATTCTGTCTAAACCAATCGTGTTATAGTATTGGTGATCCTTAATATACGAAGAAAATAATGGTGATACTATTTGTACACTTTATCAATGTTTAAGTCATATTTAAGGAATTAAGTCTATTATTATCACCTCCTAAATTCTCTCCTCCAATGATGTAATCATTCTGAATCATTTCATTTTTGGTAGCTAAATTATTGTTCTTCTATGAGTTCTCATCTTGAAGAGGACATTCAGAATTTGACTTCTTTACACAAATCAACTTTTCCATTGAACTTTTTTTACTTAACGCCGCTTTCTCTAATTATCTCCTCCTTTTTATTTATCACATTCAGATTCGATCCTTTTTATTACACCTTGAAATTAATTAAATTTATAAAATTTAATATAATTGAAAATGTTTGTCTAACAAAATCAACAAGTTATAACACCAACACTCGATACAAAACAATCAACAATTAAGAAATTAAACAATCAACTATGAATGAAATCAATTAATTATTAAATAATCATATCGGAATAATCTGTTTTTGAGTGGGATTTTATTATGGAATTTTAAGAGAATGTTTTTTATCAAGTGTAGATTATGTCCATAAAAGTTCAACTTAAAATTCAATCGTAAAGTTAATTAAATAAATTATTGAAAAATAATGCATCAAAATATGTATACAAACACAGTGTTTCTAAATAATTTATTTAATTGACTTCTGAATTGAACTTTAAACTGATTTTTGTACATAATCTACACTTCATAGAAAACATGATCATAAGTTTTCACCAATTAAATCCATTCGGAAGAACTTCAACAAATTCCACCTGAAAAATTGTTAATGTAGGGTTGAAAAATCAGCCTACTCACACTTACTACAAATTAAGAACTAAACTTGAACCTATTTTTTACCCATTTTTTGGGCCTAGGGCGCCCGCCCCCCTTGCACCCCCCTAGGGCCGCCCCTGGAGCTATGGTTTACACAAAATTTGTATATAACTACGTATAATTCAAGGCAATTTCTATGGTACCTTAAAGGTATGGTACCTTGATGGCATGGACCAATCAAAAATTTTCAATTGAATAATTTAAATGCAAATAAAATGTAAAACTTTGAGTTGCACCAATGAAATGCATCCTAGGTATGATACCCTCCTATTTTTGTTGGGTACCACAGCAAGCACCATAATTCAATTCTCCTGTTGTCCCAGTGACATTGATGCAAAAAGAAGAAGCTAGATAAGCGACTAACAATTCTGAATTTCTGATAAACCGAAAATAGCAAAACGAGAAATAATATGGAATAAAATTAAATCACTACTTAATAGAGAAACTAATAATATAATGGTTACATACAATTTAATTTAATACTTTGTACAGTTTATATATGCAATTCATTAATTTCTAAAATAATGATCAAGATCAACTAATGTTTTTGGAAGCATTAGTTTGGTCGGTAAAATGACCACCTTGACCCTCTGGTCGAGTCACGAGAATTACATTTGGAGTCTTTAGTCTGAACCTTTGAAGCTTAAACTTTCTGGGTGAGCCGAGACTCAGACTTCTTTGCACAACCCGACTTTTCCTATGCTCACTATCCCTTTTCATCTCCTCAAGTTTTTCAAGAACATGTAAAGACTCATCATAAATATCTGGAAAATTTTTCTTGAAAAAATCTTTGCTCTTCGCCACAACTTCTTTGTATGCTGGAATATCATCATGCTTATGATCTTCTTGGAGTTCTTGCCCCAAAACATGGTTATGATTCTTCTGGGTAAACATTGATAGGATAAAAGGAGATGAGATGAAATGAGGCCTCCAAGTTCCAACTTTTTGTAACTTTGGAAAACTATAAACTTCTGGTTGGGAGTATTGGAACCTATATAGGTATTGTGTCAAAGGAAAATATATGTATGGTGTATTCTTTTAGCACTGATTTGGGTGAACTCTTGATAGACGACTATTGTAGTTGCCTATGGACATGTCACATGTATTTATAAGTCCTCAAAAGAGGTTCTGAATGAAGTTGTAAACTTTCTGGGAAAGTAAATGGCAAAGGAGTATGTTTGGCCTAGTCAAAGAGAATGAGACAACACGTTAATTAATTGAACAGAAGATTCCTTGTTAAACATTCGCATTAGTTTTGTACGAAAACATTATAAATAGTAGGTGCCACGTGGCCAATTAGTACTCCCTCCGTTCCAGAATTATCTCCATTCTTTCCTTTTCGGTTCGTCCCAAATTTATCACCTTTTTCCTTTTTTGACAAAGAATTTGTGGTTCACAACAATTCTTACACATTTCCTTTCCTCTACAAAACTCTCCACTACACATTTCTCACTATCTTAAAATCCGTGTCCAGTCAAATAAAGAGATAATTCCGGGACAGAGGTAGTAAGATTTTACTCATAGCGATTTCGACTGTACCTTAAAGGTACGGTACCTTGAAGGTGTGGACCAATAAAAAATTTCCAATCGAATAATTTAAATGTAAATAAAATATGAAATATTGAGTTGGACCAATCAAATGCATCATAGGTACCGTACCCTTGTATTTTTGCTGGGTACCATAGCAATCACCTTTACTCTTATACTCCTTTCGTCTTTCTTTCCCGTCCGCCTCACTAATATTGTCTCATATCAAATTTGGTAAAGTTTATGTGATTCTAAATCATTCTTACTTTGTTCTTAATTTATCAATTCAATATCAACCACATAAACTCATCTTTTTTATTAAGCGTATCACCCCTTGTTGTCCCAATTTTAGTAGGACAGAGGTAGTACTTCGTATATGTAATATGAACCTCGAAACTACTTCAAGATTCAAAATTTCCCAAACAGATATTTGATTATAAGATGTTTTTACTTGGACTGTTTTCAGTCCCAGACCAGATCAGACTTATATCAAACCAGATCAGACAAGACCAGACTTAAACAATTATAAAATACACAGAGACCGGACATTTTTCAGACCAAATCATACTAGAGAATTTCAATCCAAGTAAAAACATCCTCATACATGAACTCAATTAAGATTTAGTCCATACATATTATCTAGAAATACATCTTCCTTCAAAACTCACAAACATTTCACTCAACATGCAATACAATACTTCTTCTGTCTCACTGGACGTTGCCAATTTTCTTTTTTTGTTTGTCCTGAAAAAACTTTGCACTTTTCTTTTAAAGCAAATAATATGTGATTGTGTTTATTTTTCTCTCTTTTGCACAAATTTTAACCACACAACATTTACTATTCTAATTTCTCACCCAACATCAACTTGACAAAGATGAGTGAGATGGAGGAAATATTAGATTTAACTTATTGATAAAAAAATCTTAAGAATCAGGTGAGGAAAAAATCTCAAGAATATAACTGCAATACTGCATAAAAACAAAACACAAATGCTGTGTTTATTATTACTTCTTAAGTGCATCCTAAAGTACTCCCTCCGTTTCCAAAAATACTTCCCACTTTCCTTTTTCGGTTGTTCCCAAAAATACTTCCCACTTTCCCCTTTTGGACAATTTGTGTGGCTCACATTCATTTTAACTTTTTCTTACACAACCACAACCATACATTTCCACTTTATTCCACTTTCTTAATAAGCGTGCCAAGTCAAACCGGGAAGAATTTTTAGGAACGGAGGGAGTATAAATCTCCGGAAGGAAAAATATAAATTTGTCTAACCAAAAGGAAATGTACAAATGCTCAAAACATTCTAAAATCACATTTGTGCTGATCATCATCACTCCAATTCACTCCACTTGGAGAATTAAAAGATTCAACATAGAAACACCTACGAAGAGTGCGCTCAACATCATCATCACCTCCTACACAAGGAATGTCTGTTTTAGCCTCTGTTTTTTCATATCATAAATATATGTTCTCCATGATAATCACACATCATCAACACACTCTCTTTTCTTCTTTGAGACAAAAAGTTAAGGTTGTATATAAGGAAGCAAGAAAGATGTGAAATTGGATTCTAAAGAAGGAGAAAAAGATATTTACAGATTTGCTTGTCTTTGTGATCGTAGGACTCAAGATATTGAAAAAGTTAAGTGTGTGAAGGATGTCGATCAAAGGGTGCTAATATAGGACGAGGAAATAAAAGTGAGGTGGAGGTCATACTTTGATACCTTCTTCAACGGGAATAAAGTGCAAGGTATTGATGATCTTAATGTACCAGATTGTATGGTAAATCAGGATTTTGTGAGAAGGATCCAAATGTCAGAAGTTAAAGAGGCTTTGAGAAAGATGGGGTAGAGGAAAGCAGTGGGTCCAGATGGCATACCAATCAAGTCCCGGAGAAGTCTTGGAGAGAGAGAGACATTGAGTGGCTAACACGTTTATGCAAAATGATTTGGAGAAACAACAAAATGACAGTGAGTTGGCGGAAGAGTACTCTTATTCCCCTATTTAAAAATAAAGATGATATACAAGAATGTGCCAACTATCGAGGGATTAAGCTTATGAGCCACACCATGAAACTTTGGGAGCTAGTTGTTAAGCAAAAACTCCGAAAAAGTGTGAAAATTTTGGAAAATATGTTTGATTTTATGCCTGAACGCTCAACAACTAAGACTATTCACCTTCTTAGACAAGCTGCGGAGACGTATAGAGACACAAAAAAGGATCTGCATTTGGTCTTCATTGACTTAGAAAAGACTTATGATATGGTGCCTCGAGAAGTCCTTTGGTGTGCCTTAACTAGAAAAGGCATATCACATAAGTATATTAGTATTATTATGGATATGTATGAGGGTTGTCTTATGAGTGTTCGTACTAGTGTAGGGAGGACTGTAGAGTTCCCAGGGCCGGCTAGAGCAATTATGAGGCCCTAGACGGTCATGTAGAAATTTTGTTTTAAATATGTTTTATTTAATCCAATGATATAAAAAATAGCAATTAAATATAAGTAAATTACATATAAAATACATCATATACTATTAACACAGTGAGAATATTCTTCGAAATCAGAAGATCAAAGTTGATGAAAAAATACAAAGAGCCCTAGAGGGAGAAGGTTTTGTGCCTACATACAACATACCGATCGACAGAGCCGGAAAGTGATTTCATGACCAAATCATTTCTTAATTTTATTCTTTGTCTTTGTACATCTTGATTCATATTTTGTTTTCCAATCATCACAAAACATAAAATTTCATTCAAAATAATACTATCACTAAATATAAGTTAATGGTTCATAGATATAAATTTAATTCACTAAATTTAATCAAATATAAAAAATTATAAGTATGTTCAATATTTCGATGAATCAAAATAACAAATTACAATTTCAATTATTCAATAAGCATTCAAATATATTTAGAATACTCATTATACTAAATCCCTAGCCCTACTGCCCTAGTCAACAAAGGAAAAAAGGAAAAAGGAGCAAATAAGCCCACATACTAACCAAAAAGGTCAAATAAGCCCTTGTATAAGAGACTTTGTCCCGCCGTTGCCATTTGAGGCAGTTCCCAGTGGAATTTTTTGATGAAATTTTTTGAGAATCTTATTCATTAATTCTTGTTTACTTATACCAAATTTCAGCTAACAATTCAACATGGAAGACATTCAAATAAATTCTTGAAGATAACTGCGCAGTTATCTTCAAGAATTCATTTGAATGTGTTCTCGATTGAATTTTTAGGTGAAATTTGGTATGAGTAAACTAGACATAATGAATAAGATTCTAAAAAAAATCATCAAAAAATTACAAATGAAACTATCCCAAATGTTGACGGCCGGACAAAGTCTCCTAAATAATATTAGTAAGCTTATTTTATAAATTAGAGGCCCCTAAAATTTGGAGGCCCTAGACACTTGTCTAGGGTAACTCCCCCTATGGCCGGCCCTAAGTTCCCTATTACTATTAGAGTTCACCAAGGATAGACTTTGAGTCCTTTCTTATTTGCGATAGTCATGGATGAACTTACACAGTCAATTCAAGAAGATATATCGTGGTGCATGATGTTTGCCGATGATATTGTATTGATTGATGAGACACAATCGGGGGTTAAAGCAAAGTTGGAAGCATAGGGACAAAGTTCAGAGACCAAGGGTTTCAGACTGAGTTGTAGTAAGACTGGGTATATGGGGTGCAAGTTTGGTGGAGGTAGAAGTAGTAGTAACAATGTGATTAACTTTGATGGCAAAGAGATACCAGTGTGTGATATGTTCCGTTATTTTGGCTCTATAATTCAGTAGGATTGTGAATTAGATGGAGATGTATCTCATAGAACCAGAGCGAGGTGGATGCATGAAATGGAAGAGTGCATTGGGATTTATATGTGATCAAGATATGCCTACTAGACTCAAGGGTAAATTTTATCAGAGAGCAATTAGGCGTGCATTAATGCATGGCGTAGAGTGTTGGGCAGTAAAGCAATGTCACATTCAAAAGATGAGTGACAGAGATGCGTATGTTACGTTGGATGTGTGGACATACCAGAAATGACCGCTTGAGGAGTGAGATAATCAGACAAAAGGTGGAGTAACACCTATAGAAGAAAATGCAAGAGTCTCGATTGCGGTGGTTTGATCATGTCATTGGAGGGCGTTAAAATCAAAATCATTCTCTTATACATTAAGTTTTTCAAACATAAATATTTTGATACCTTAACTCTTAAATGAAACAAATCAGTATCATAACTATACGTTAAAGTTTGAACCAACAATACTATACATATATCCAGCCTAAATCCTATGTAGCGGGTGAAATTCCATTTATATTCCACCGACAATGATAACATGAATAAAAGTAATGTAAAGTACCGTTTAATTATGCATATATTTTACCCTATGTAGCACGGAAACTCTCGGGAAAGAGTTCGGAAATTAAACTCTATGGAAACTCTTTGGAAACTCTCCAAACACGTTTCCCGTTTTCTGTTTCCTCATAATTTTCGCGTTTCCGTGCAACATAGATCTTACTCGACTCAAGAAGACATACATACATACGTACGTTCAGATAGTACAATTGCTTTTAGCTTTGGCTAATCTAATACTTGGTACTACATATATTGATTATATTCTACGTACGTACTCTCACACTGATGCCAAATCTCCATGGTCAGGCACTGCAGGATCCATTATTGGGCTTCTGTGTGTTCTTGAAGAGGCAAAAATGGAGCATAAATGGCGTTGTGACCGCACAGCTGAGCTGAACAATGGTTCCATGAAATGCTCTTTACGGAAAAGTGATTGTAGGGAAATGCGGCAAACTGGGCATGTGGAGTTGTTTTGCAGCCATATGTCAATACATGCCGGGTGGAAGTAATGTGCACAAGATGGCAATATGCGTAAGCTGTCTTCTCTTTGGTAATCCGCTAAGCAAATTGTGCATCTGGATGCCAACAATAATACTATGTAATTAGTGTATAAAGTAAACGAACGAGGAAGCGACCCAGTTCAGGTGGTCGTCGACTCACTTCCTTATACGAGAGGTCTCGTATTTGAAACTCCATGAAAGGAGTTTCAGTCCTCAGGCTCTCCTCAGCTCCCTCCAAAACGCTCCTAAAACATTATCTTCACCTAGATTAACCATCACCTAATTACGTATGCAAACTTTTACTGCATTCACTTCAGTTGATTAATCTAGTAACTATCCCAGCGATCTTACATAAGCTTCTGAGTTGAAATAATAGGTCCCACCCAAATTGTACTAAGCCTAGGTCAACTTAAATCGATCAGGTTTTCTTAAGTTACTCTATCCAAATGGATCGCAAATAGGAGATTTTGGGAGATTAAGCTCTCTCTTTGTATGTGATTTTTATGTATTAATTAATCTAAGATCAAATAACTTTTGCCCTAACAACTTCAACACAAATTACACCGTTAAATCGTTTCATCGTGTGCACAGTGTACAGACCTCAATACAGTGTACTTTTGTATTAAAAACACAACGTATACAATATTTTTACTCTCTCATTCTCTCTCTTCTTCGCCGCTGTGTATCGTTTTTTCCTTTTTCCTTCAATTTTCTGATTTCTTCTTTAGTTTTAGCTAAAACCTAAATAATGTCTTAAAAAAAGACATCAAACAAATTCTATGTTACAAGTTTACCAATACTGACATAAAAAATCAAGGAAAAATTGATTTATAAACTTTTTTGTTCAATTTTTGTGAGCACTTCCTATTTTGTATGTGTACATAGACAATTATAAAGATTACATAGACAAAGATTACATAGACAGTCTGTCTAATAAGAATCGAAGTTGTGTGTATAGAGAGACAATCGTATAAAAAATACTCTCCCTGTCCCATTAGAAGGTTCCAACTTTCCTTTTTTGGATCGATGTCCCATATAAAAGTTCCCATTTCCATTTTAGGAAACAATTAACAATCTTAAGTGACAAATTAATCATTAAATATTAAAAGTAATACATTTATATTATCACAGTTATCAATACTAACTACATTATAATATATACCTATTAAAATTATTTCTCAAAATATATTCGAATTACTTTATTTAATTATTGCTCTAATAACTATGTCGTTTTGCTATGGAAACCTTCCAACGGGACTAAATAAATGAAAGTGTTGGATTTCAAGGGATAGACCGACTAAATCACTAATTTTAAATGAAGTTGGAATGTTGGATTCATTGAACTCGAGAAGACACTAAGAGGGTGTTTGGCAACACTGTTTTTCAGCTTATCAGGCTTATCGGGCTTATCAATCAACTTTTTCACCAAACACATAACTTTTGATTTCGCGCGCTGAATTGTGTAATAAGCAGAAAAAGTAAAGTTGGAGTTACTTTTCTGGCTGTATGGGCTGAAGTTGCTGTAGATGACAATTTAAGCTATTTTTACATATAATTTTTTCTTTATTTTATCAATAAAATATATTTTAAAATTATTTTTTGCTTAAATCAGCATAATCAGCCAATGCAGCCACTTCCGTCAGAACTTCATAAGTTTCAGCAGAATCAGCCAAATCAGTCGATTTTCGTGCTACCAAGCTCTAATTTTACGATTGACTTATTCTATATAGTGAGCATCTGTGGGGCCAAATATAAAGATTGTGGGGCCACATATGAAGAAATTCCATTACTATTTTTTGAAAGTAAGAAATTCCTTATCTAGAAACAAGGAGTAAGCCGGAAGAATAGCATTAGATTCGAGAAACAGGACGAAAAAACTAGTCAACTTACTGAGCATCTTGAATGGAGGCAAAAAAAGCATCACTGTATTTCTTCACAGGAAAGCTGCTTATGACTAAAGGATCAAGACCATTACAGCTGCGCTTTATCTGTGAAGTTAAACAATAGGATTAGATTAGCGGCGGAGCCAAAAATGACAGGTTGGAGCAAGAAATGACAGGTTAGAGGAGTCGGGTTTACATAATTTATATTGGAAGGGTCAAAACTTCAAATTTTACTACTACCTCCGTCCCTATATAAAAGTATCCATTCATTTTACACACATCTTAAGAAAGTGGGTTTGTTTGGTACTGTTTGACACTGTTTGGACACTGTTTGGCACTGTTTTGCACTGTTTTGTTTGTCAAAAAAGGAAAGAGAACTTTTATTTAGGGACGGCCCGAAAAGGAAACATATGCTTTTATTTAGGGACGGAGGGAGTATATTTTTAGTGTTTAGAAATATGTATACATATAAAAAAAGGATGACACTCTATCACTGAGGGCCCTCAACACCGAAGGGACGGTTAGATGAGAGAATGTAAATTCGACTTTAATCACAAGCTTTATAGATAAATAATGAGGCTCTCCTTGGTATGCAATTTAGCATAGTAACCTCTCATCGCAGTTGTCGGAATTCGAACCCGAGACTTACCTCTTATGGCACCCGATCTGCCGGTTGAACTAAGCCAGCCGATTAAACATATGTATATACATCACTAATTTTTTCTTGAGGGCCGTCAGCCTCCCCTGTCTCTACCAGAAAGCTTAACTAACATCAAATCAAAGGGCTATCGGGAAGAACTAATATAAACAGAAGAGTGTGAAAAGCTTACAATGCTATGATCAGAACGAGTGTAGTATAGACGAATCCTAGAACAGATAAGCCTGGCGCAGACATAAACTATGAACATGGAACTCAGTGCAAACCCAATCGCTGTCATCACTAAATTGATCTCAGACGACGCCATTTTCATGGATTCTCCAGCAGAAAGATCACTTCAGTATAGATTATGTATGAATGATCATCACCTAGCTAGCTTTGGATTAAACACTACTGGTAGTAAATAATGCAGCATTCCTAGGAAGAATACATTCCTGATCAACTGACAGTTGCAAAAATTCTAAACTTTTCTGATTTAGACAAGACAGGTATGGAGTAATTGAAATTCGCAAATAGAATCAAGAAAATAGTGTGTAAATGTGATAGAGATAGGCGAGCTGACACTTCCAAAGGCCCTCTCTTTCCTTTTCTTTCCCCAGAATGAGACTGTGTCTAACCGGTTAAAACTGAAAAAGAATTGGGAAAACAACTTCAGCCAAACCAACTCTTTCACTTCCTTATCAAGGGTTTGGCATATGGGAATTTCAAGAAAAAGAGGAGTGAAGAAGTTTGTGCACCACCAAGATATTTGTTCACCTCTTTACGTGATTGTTTTTATGTGGGCCGGTGCGCGTAGTTCAACCAGTAGATAAGAGGGTGTCAGATAAGTCTTAAGTTCGAATCCCGCCAACTATGACGAGAATTAGCTATATAAAGTACATAGACCTCTGTAAGTATCTGGATCAGAGCCTCATTCGCTATCCGTCAGTTTGTGATTAAGGTCCAACTTACGTCATCTGAATCAACTGTATGACCGGTGTTGGAGACATATCCCTCTTTTTGCTAAGCCTTATTAGTTTTCTCTTTTTACATGGCAAACTGGCAAAGTGTATTCGTTACTCTGCCTGCCGCTTTCATTCTTTCTGTTGCGTATCGTCACAGTCAAAGTCATGGTCAATTTGCTTATTTCAAAGCATTATCTTATCAAATTTCACAATTACACATAATAATGACGAAAAATTTAATTGTTTTCCCTTTGACGTGCAAGTATTAAAAACAACATAATGCATAATACTATCTGTGAAACTGAAAACATTCTTTTACAAACTAAAAGATCAACTGGGCTTATAACTAAACTAACTATGGCTATCAGAAAAAGAAAATGCCACTCCAGCAGGCTCGCGAGCTACACATTTCGCAGACCGTCGGACAAAATTAAAAATTACAAAGTACTCCTCAATTCTTTCATCAAATCTCTTATATCATCAACAATAAGCCCCAACGGAGAAGAAACACCCTCCTATTCAATAGCCGTAACCACATGTAAAACATCTGATTCTATATCAAGAATGTCCCAACCTCCCTCCTTAAGCCAACTTAGAGTGTCCCTAATTCCAATTGCTTTAGCCTCCTTTGCCGAACAATACCCAGCCGACGACAGGCTCCAGCTCCCACAAACCCCCCATCGGGATTATTTTTAAGCTTATCGTTTTAGCCGCTAGACTTCGATTAGCTGAAACTCTTGCTTTTATCTAGAAATTATGAAATAACTAACAGATTAATACTCAGAAGATATGATAGAGTGAGGAATAAATTCACTAATCTGTTATTATATGTAAAAGTAGATATTTACATTGACATTTATTTGATTATACTAACCCAAGCTAAATACATGTTTTGACACCTAAAAGAAGTGAAAAAGTACTGCATGGTTTAAGTTGAATCATGGCACAAAGTTAATTTTCTTAAAGAAACATTTACATTGTTTTATTAACACTATATTTCATAAATTTTAATACATTTTACTTAAAGTATTGAAACTGCAAAAAAGAGGATTAAATCATCCAACATAAGAGAAGAATACTCATAAGCTTACCTTTTTAGCCGCTAGAATTTGTTTAGTCGGAACTCTTGTTTGTATTACGACTTTATGAACTAATAATTAACAGATCAATACCCATAAGATATGGTCATGAAGAATATTTTATACTAATATGTTATTAGCTTCACAAGGCTCTCTCAGTCTCTCTGTTAAGCTTCACCCAAATTGTATTACAACATCCTAATAACCAAAGAGTGTTGGGTTGGTCGATTCTTTTTTTCTTCCCCCAAATTTCATGCGCCCTTTCCTCTATAGTGAGGATAAACGCCTTCACATTATCAAATGCAAATTCATTGATTTTATATAGACCCTACATAGATTATAGATTTCAAGGAGGATGGCATGATATAGAGTTGACAAATGAATGAAATCATATAGTCAGGCTTCATGAAGTAAAGTACCCTGATATAGGCGGCGCACTCTATGAATTGAAATCATCAGCTCCAACTCTATTTACATCACTTTAATCTTTTCCTTTGCTAATTCAGGCGCCGCACTATTATATCTTTCCCCGATATAGTAGACCTTCTTCCTTCTCCTCTTACAGAGCACTACATTAGGGTAATGGGCATGAGAGGAATGTGATGTATGGAGTAATAAACTTTCAAACGGTAAAATAGAAATTTCAGTTTTTTAGATATGGTAATTTCCCAATCTATTTTGATGACACATATTGATTGACTGAGTTTGACGCATTTAGTTGAACAATATGTGTTATCAATAAAGTTCATCTTATGATGCCTTAAACTTTTTTTAGAAAATTATGAGATGCATTAATTAATTAAACCATTCCCAAGTGCATAAGTTATAGGAAAGATGATGAGATATTTCATTTGGGAATGATCAATCAAGGAAACTGGTTTACTAAGATATGAAAATGCCGGTTGCATACCCACATAACATAAACAAATGAAATAGTTGCAAAAAGATGCTAGCATAGTTCTAATATCTTCAACCAGAAGCCCAAATTGCGGGTTTTGTGCTCCGGTTTAAATGCCTTAAACAACCTGTATTGCGTCCACTCAAGTTCCACACAATCTCATACAGTGAATTGGTTAATAAAGAAAAACGATGATTGTAGGTACTTTTCTACCTAAATTTCCTAAAACGAACATTTTAATGTTTTTTTTTGAAACGACTCCCATACATTACAAAAACTTACTAATTGCTGTATATTCTATCATCATTACATGTATGTTCTTTACCTTCCTACTGCATAGGAGCAGCGGAAATGTTTCTTCCCCAGCAGTGTTGTGGTAGTAGTCCCCACGAGATTGGGTGTGACACCCTCTTGACATCAGATATATACTCTCTCCAGACATCGAGCACAAGCCCGAGGTCGTGGACCTTTTTTTCCAGCCCGAAGCAACAGTTGGCATGGACAGTAATGACAAGGTTGAGGTCATCGCTGAGCTGACAAAAACCGCTGTAAAACACCGTCGGCAAGAAGGTAATCTGGAGGCCGAGCTCTGTAATGAAGGGATGAAACTTTATGTTGTTGAATACGTCTTGGTCATGACTGCCTGGGTAAAGATCTTTTGAACTGTACCAGAATTTGTAGAACTGGACTGTCCTCCTGCTCGATTTAACATAATTGAAGCCTCCATTGGGCATGTTGTTCAGGTCTGATGAATTGGAGTTAAAGAGATCACATGCAATCTGGAATTCTGAATCGGGGTGGAACTGCGAAAATGGATTCCGAAGCCACATTATGTCAGCGTCTGAGAATACGAAGTTGTAACCCTTCTCCAGAACGTGTCTTAGGAAGTCAATCCTTGCCCACATCATCTTCAGATACTTGGTGCTCTTGAACTTTGCTTCGCCAGTAAAGTTAACTTCATGGGTATGCAGAGCATAGCAATATGAGTGTACTTCCATACAGCGAGAATAGGCTGTCTGATCCAAAGCCACCACAAGTAGATGATCCAGAAGATGGTGTGTTTGGTTCCCGATTCTAAAGCTCTCCAGAAAAAGATCAAAAACAGAGTTTGGAGATGTCCATGCTGCGTTTAAAGTTGTGATAATAACAGTTCTATCAATAGAAGCTGCCTTTTTCAGCATTTTCTCCAACTCCTCTTCTCCTTCCTTGGTGGTTCGGAATGCATCATCAAGAATGGCGGCAGGGGAGGCTGAGGAAGAGGCCTCATTCGGGAAATGTTTATGACCAAGTGGATTTGGAGATATGCCTATATAGCCTGCCCAATTGTAAAGCACTAGAGATGAAAGGCTAACAACTGAAAATATGAGAACAAGCAAAACAGCTTCAAAACGAAAGTTATGAGCTTTATTATGGTGGTGTTGATGGGATTGGTAACGTTCATACTCATTCAAATCCTCGACAGCTTTTCTACCACTCCCAAGGTTCATCATCTTCTCAAGCTAAACTTTTGGGTATAACCAAGGCCTCATATAACAAAGCATTATTTAATCAGTATCAAGGTCAACTACAACCCACATAATTTCAAAACTAAAAATATCTCAAGACAAACATTGAACCACTTTGGGCTATTTCGTCGAACGATTGGCGTGCAGAATTTCGCATATTCATAAAGGAATTTCAACGGACGGGAACAAAATTTCGTATATTGAACAGCACTTCGTATATTGCTTGACTCCTCACAGCATTGTGTAGGGGCAAAATCATCAATGACTGCGCACATTTTTTACTCCTTTAATTATGTTCCGGCATGAATCAAGGATTAATTGTCTGTTGTTGAATGTGTTGTTGAATAACACAATTTTTCAAGAGAAAATGAGCAAATAAGTCTATCAACGGAAAGACTTGTAGATACACTTTCCAACTCGTTTAAAATGAAGCAATCAGATTCTTTTTATCTGATGTTGCTGATAATTTTTCATTTTCTTACTTGCACCAACAGGTAAAAAAAATGTGATTACATAATTTTCAACAAATAGAATAGTGTATCTGCAAGTTTTTCGGTTAAGGGACCTTATTGCAGTATCGCAAATAGTTCAAGGATTTATTCTTTTATTCGCCTCCTTTCTCATTTTTTAATAATAATATTGGCACCAAAAAAAGAATTCACCAAAAAAGTATTCCTCCTACACACCAACTCATGTCATTATTATCATCTTTTTATTCATCGCTCATTTGGTATCTTTGACACAACTAGGTTAAAAGATATTTTTGTCATCTTTTTAGTATGTAACTATTAGTTTTTAGTGACTAAAAATATCTTAAAAAGAAAATATGGTAACAGTGTGATAAAAAGTTGTTTGTTTGATTTAGTTTTGTTTGTTATGCATGTTGTTGAGGCTAATTAGTGTTAAAAGTTACAAACTTTTCTCAGATGCTACCTAGTGTAGCGTCTTAAAATGGATCTTTTATTTTTAAATAAATCTTACAAAATGTCATGACAAACATGCAATTAGAAACTTTTAAACACTTTTTAAAATGTACAAAAACTAAAATGTAGAAACTTATGCTTACCAAATAATTTAATATGAAGTGAACAATGTCATAATATTCATCTAATTTTTTTGTTGGACTTTCTAGTTTCTTATAATATTTATTCCATGTTAAATGACAACATTGGAATGAATTTTGAATTTATGACCTCTTTTTTGGGAGTGTCACCCCAAGTGCTTGACTTCATCTAATTTTAAAGTTCACTTTTCATGTTTTGATGCGGTTGGAGTTGAGATTCCTTTTTTATTACTCCGTAATTAAGATTGAACGTGGACGTCACTTCTCCACCAGACAAGGAGAGGAATGTGTCCTTCAAATTTGCGGAACATTATTTGATTTGGAGTGAGAAACTCACTATAGATTAGTATTGGTATTCATGTCTCGGGGGCAAGATGGGCGACCGCTCTAGGCCCGAATAAAATAGAAGAAAAAATATATCCAAATTTTGTTCTTTATATATAGTGTGATTATGCTTCTTTTTTATTCTTAAGTTCAATTAATTAGGTCTAATGTTTAATTAAGTTGAGTTGTTGACAATTTTTGGAAGCAGGTGACTTATATTAATAAGAAAGAGCTTAAGCAGATATAATCAGACAAAGAACTCATAGTCTACCGTCTGCCCTTGAACCAGACTTAGAATCTGCCACCTCGAACAAAGCAACCAGATTCGCTGATCCTGAATTGGGCTTATTACTTGATCCAATGACTGGTAAACTAAATTCCCCATCACTTGTCCTAAGTTCAAGAGTCTTGACAAAATTAAAAATTGTAGCAAGCAAAAAAACACGATGTCCATCGCAAAAAACAATAAAAAAAGCAAGTCGAAAAGTAGTAGCAACTTTGATTCTCCACATGCACCATAACTTCACTGATTTTGGCGGGCCTGGGATCTCCAGCCCGCCTTCTCCCTGTTTTTTGGTACTTCTAGAACCATGGCATCCCCTCCTGGTTGCTCCAGCTCATGTTCCTGTGCTTCTCATGTCCGTCTCCTCTTCTGCTCACCCGAACCACTGTTGTTGACCGTAATCTCCATGTTCTTTGATTCGTCCCCAACCTTCTGATTCTGGTCTCTCATACGGTACCGCCTTCCCTGATTATCAATGGAGTTTGTTTGCAACCCTCTGTGGTCTCTCCCTTTTCCTTTCTCGCCTACAAGCCATTTATTGCCTATAGTCGGACGGAATCTCCCTCCCCCTGTCCGCAGCCACGAGCCGTAATGTCTCAGAGTCTCTGTATCACCTTTATCATACAATGATGGGCAGAATTTTTCAACGTGTCCAATGACTCCACAAGCAAAACAAAAACTAGGAAGTTTCTCATACTTGAATTCTACCCAATAGGCTTCCCCTTTACTCGTTTTCAATGTCGTGCCCACCTTCAAAGGTTTCCTCACATCCAACATAACCCTGATCCTCATGTAGGCTTCCCACTTTTCATCAAACTATTTATCATCCCAAGATATGAATTTCTCCAAATAGTCTCCGATTTTACGGGCATAACCCAGATTTGAAAAACCATAAGGAATATTATGGACCTGAACCCAAAAACCAGTCATATCTAAAGAGATCTTATGAGGCATATCACCCTGCTTAATAGCTTTTAACAGTAGCAGATTCTGGTCAAACAACCAGGGTCCATTATCTAACACACGATTCATATCAATTTTGTGATAAAAAGTAAAAAGATACATCTTCTCCCTATTTTCCCGAATCAGAATGCCTTTCCCAGGACGCCAATGAGACGCCACCAGATCACGAAAAAATTGAAATTTCACCACTTTGTTTGTGAGGATTGTACCGACCACCTGAAAAGTCTTCACCCCCTTGCTCGCCGCTTCGGGATCAATTTCCTTGCTTTCCTCATCATCCAACAACAGCTCGTCCTCTGTACTTTCCAACCTCAGCCCCTCATATTGATCGGCCAACCTCTCCACACTCATCTCGCCCGAAGTCCGTCGAAGTCTCACCAATCACTGCCGAGGGTTCCCCCTCCTCGTCGTTAATCCCCTTCACCGACTGTGACGTGGCTCTGCCGCCGCCCTGTTCTTGCGTTTGCCTACCTGCGCGCCATGGTGTTTCGTGAGAATCCATCTCGCCGATACCTTTGCCGCACTCCTTCGGCGGAAAGCTCTCAAACCCTACGAAGAGGGATAAACCGCTTTATCCACGTTACAAGAAGGTTAGATCTATAATCTATTTGAGTTGTTGACAATTTGAAAATTTAAATGTAAATAAAAAGTCTTAAACACAGCCAAGTTTATAAAATAAAATGAACATTAATTTTAAGTAGGATCAGTTGTAGTTTTTAAATGTAATACAGTTGCTGCATCAATAAAAGACACGCCTCTTCAGTCTTCACATCTATTTAGCCTTTAAGGTTTTTATTCATTTTAATTATAACATAACAAATTTATATAATTATTTTAGAGGCTATTTCTCTCAAATCTCATCCCAATTTGTTTTAACAAATTTCAATAAACTATATCTAAGTTCCTAATAGTAGTCTAGAGGACGTCCAATTGGCAGACTTCTTGTGAGTCTTCTTGACGGTCAAACATTTTGTCTCGTTTAAAACTTTCATTCTTTCGAGACTTCAAACTTTAGACTCCCATCAACGATCAATAAATCATTCTCAACTTATGAATTCAATATGTAGTATTTTTTCATTTATCCTTTCAAAATAAAGTTTAGTGTTGTTATATGTTGCAATTTTATTGTTTGTCATATTTATTATTGTTTGTATCTCGTAGAACAATGTGAAACAAATCATCAAAAATCGCTTCATAGGCAAGTTTCTTTCCAATAATAAATATGACAAACAATAAAATTGCAACATATAACAACACTAAATATTTTGAAAGGATAAATGAAAAAAATACTACATATTGAATTCATAAGTTGAGAATGATTTATTGCAAATCATAAAAAATCGCTTCATAGTCAAGATTCTTTCCGATAATAAATATGACAAACAATAAAAGTGCAACATATAACAACACTAAACTTTATTTTGAAAGGATAAATGAAAAAATACTACATATTGAATTCATAATTTGGGAATGATTTCTTACGAGAAAAAATACTACATATTGAATTCATATTGAATTCATAAGTTGAAAAAATACTATGAGAAACGTTTTTTAGTAATGTTTTTTCTTTTTATCCGATACCCGTGTTGTTACTTTTGCTCAAATATGTAACTTAAATAATAATACTACATAAATGAAAAAATACTACATATTGAATTCATAAGTTGAAAAAATACTACGAGAAACGTTTTTTAGTAATGTTTTTTCTTTTTATCCGATACTCGTGTTGTTACTTTTGCCCTAATATGTAACTTAAATAATAATACTACATAAATGAAAAAATACTACATATTGAATTCATAAGTTGAAAAAATACTACGAGAAACATTTTTTAGTAATGTTTTTTCTTTTTATCCGATACTCGTGTTGTTACTTTTGCCCAAATATGTAACATAAATGAAAAAATACTACATATTGAATTCATAAGTTGAAAAATTACTACGAGAAACGTTTTTTTAGTAATGTTTTTTCTTTTTATCTGATACTCGTGTTGTTACTTTTGCCCAAATATGTAACTTAAATAATAATAAAGTGATTCTCGCCTTTATTTTATGAACTTCATTGGATATTTTTAATATAATTCATATTTCAAATAAATATATGGTTTACGGTTTGTCTTGGGTATAAGCCAAAAATAGCGTACCGCCCATAGGCCCAGAAATGAGCAGAACCGGTCCTGCCTGTCTCGTCCTATAAACTCAACCATTCTCATAAAATAAATTAAAGCTTTTTCATTCAAATTGCTCTCTCATTTGAGTTTTCTTATACGTAGTATTTAAAATATATGTAATAATATAGTGTAGAAGGGAAGTATGACCGACAGTTTATTGAGGACTGTATGAGTGTCTTCTGGCAAATTATACCGTGGGATCGGCACACCGTGCGCACGGTGTACCGATCCCTAAACCTGCATTTTACAGAGAACCAAACCTAGCGAGCACCAACCAAAGCAATCCTATTCAGCTTCAATCGAAGGCTGCTATCAACGATCTCATGCAGTGAGGCTGCCAAGAGCGGTAATCAATGGAGCCCTCTGGTGCGAAGGTTATTCCCAGCCAATAAAGATGGTTTCTAATCGTCGATTGAAGATGGAGAAGATTGAGAACCTTCAATTTCAGAAATCTCCAGAGGCATTGGATTGAGCTGAGGATATGGGAATCTACTGGCATATTGGATCCACGTCAATTTCAGAAACTTCAAAAATCCGGAAAGAGTTGCGCAAGAAGGTGTAGCTATATACTAGTGTGTATTTTTTGTCTGAAGTTACATCTTTGTAAAGGCGTTTTACATTTCAATAAGCTAAAGTTACATTTCCTAAGTTACATCTGACTTGTTTCCAAGTTACATTTTAATTAAAGCAATTTACATTTTGAGTTTGCTCAACGAGTTACATTTGAATGAGTGTAATTTACATTTTGATTAACCTCAAGTTA